TTTGTCTTTGTCTTCGCTTGGGTAACTGTTGATACTCGCTAAATGGGTGATTTGTGTCTGACCCTGCGCGGAGTTTGTCGCCACTGGATAGGAAACTACCAGAGCTTTATATAATTCAAGTTTGCGGACTAATACTTACAATGTATGAGAATTGCGAGTTCTTCTGTCGACTGCTGTCGATGGGGCTTCTTGAATTCAAATTCCTCAATTGTCAATTGGGCTTGGGAAAGTAACAGATAAATTTATCATGCATCGGATAAGTTTTGAAATAATACTTCATTTATTCGCTATGTAAGGAGCTAGCCACCCGCAATAGCCTAGCAGTGCGCAAGTACGGTCAATCGACTCATTTCAACTATTAGGAGCCAACCATTCATTTTGTGATACTCGTCTCCTAGCCAAAGCCTCTACAAAGATGAAGAAAATGGACTTTTCGGCACCAGATATGTTGATGCTTGAACTTCTTAGCAAACTCCCAGTTCGGAGTGTCTTTGAGATGCATTTCTCCTTGTAGATGTCATTTCCCTTCTTTTTGATAATATGTTTCACGTTGATTGCACTTTATAGGATGTTAAATCTGGATTTATCCTGTGAGGCATGCTCAAGGATCGAAGCAGTGGAAACCTTGAAGAACAAATAGAGAGGGAGACAAAAGAGAAAGAAATAAGTAAAAGAGCACACATAGAGTTGCCCCGTATGGACAAACTGTGAAATTCTAAAGCTCTCTTACACTTTTTATACATATAGCTGGGGGGTTTCAAAAGAATAGGAGAGAGATCTCCTTACAGAGTATGGGTTTATAGAAAAGAGCAAAAAACCCCTAATACAAGTTATAAACCCACTATTGTAAGAAATAAGGCCAAAGGTGAAAATTATATAATTCAAGCAGGTGCTTGAGTCGGTTGACGAAGCTGACATCAACCTGCTATTTTGCCTATTGCCGATCGATTTTCACTCTAAGAAGTAGGTCAATTTCGAGTGTGGTAGCCGGTTGGCTTTAGCATGGTCGGTTGGTCCGCTTGATTATAGTCCTTTGATGATTTTTTTAAATTTTTGAGGAAGTTATTGAGGGAGCCTCACGTTGACAATTGTGAGAGTTGTTGGGGTATATTCCATTGTTCGTTCATTATCACGAATATTTGTTCCTGATCGACTTGCATGGCCCAGTTTTCAAACTAACCACCAGTCGCTCGTCAGACGATATCCCTACGGTAGACTAACAGTCGGTCAGCCGGTAGTTCTTTAGTCGGTCGGTTTCATGAGCACTTGCACTTTTTAGTAAAGTGATAATCTTCGTTGCCCCTCTTTTGATCTAAACAACTGTATTTTCTCAAGATTCATGTATAATATTTTTGGGTGTGCGATAGCATCAATAGAATATGACAAGGATTTCAGTTCATGAATAATTAGTAGTTCGTTCAGGAAAATGGTGATCAGCTTGAAATTTCCCAAACAATTTCCATGATCAGCTACAAAAACGAGAAATGAGAAATAAAGTTGCATTCAGTCACCAATGCAGAGGGGGAAAAAACATCAGACCGCTTCTAAAGAACATCTCCCTTCTCGAACAAAGTAATTGACCCGTATACGCATGCCATTAGAGAATCACCAGACTGAACTTAACCGGAAAAAACTAGATGATCAGCAACATTTTCCAGGTACTAAGTACTATGATACGCATAATTGTAAGCCCAGTTTTTCTTTTTTAGTATTAAGATAACCCAGCAAATTCATCATCATAATCATGTTACCATAACGCTCAGAACTGTCACACAGCTGACTAATAACCATTCCGAAGGATGTAAACCACCCAAACCCCATTCCAAGCTCTCAGGCTTTCGGTGCTTTATAAGAAACGTGAAAATATATGAACAAACATGGCATGGAGGTATAAAATGAAACCTTGGGGTTCCCCCTCGTGCATAGATCCGCCAGAATGCGCTGAAGAGAATCAGCGCATGCGCCGCCGGCGGAAAGAGCCCCGTAGCGGATCGAGGGCGGGGTCGCCGCCATGGCTTCAGGTTTCTAGTTCCTTAGGGCAACCATGGCGTCCTCGTAAATTAGAGAGAGAAAGGTAGAGGGGAGGGAGAAGGATAAAGAAAGAAGCGGAAGCGCTGCTTCTTGGTTGAGGTAAACGCGGCAGTGGGAACGAGGGTTGAAAGCGTTAGGGTGCGGATTTTCTGCGATTAGCCGCACCCAAAATCGGGGATATGAACGCAGTGATTCTGGGATAATTTATGGGCAGGCCGCCGAGATAATCGGTCGGTTCAAACCAGCCCGGCCCGACTCGGCTTTTACCAGCATAAGATACATACCACATAATTACTATAAATTTTAATATTTATATATAACACTTAAATTTTT